TCATTTTAAAGTTCCTAGTCTCTTTTGATGAACATTATATCAAATTTAGGAGAAAATATGTTGTTGAATTAGCAACAACAATGAAAAATAATGTGTGCCTTGTCTGGTGTATAGCTCCAAGATCATTAATCACAAGATCATTAATTCTAAAGTTCGGCATGGATAGTATGGACCTTATGAAAGTATACATGTTGCGGTTATTTTTTAAAAATAGATTACTTAATTAAAATCCAGTTTTAGCTTGTAGTATCATGTGGAGTCACAGGGTCTTCAGGAAAAAGAGGACTCATTGAAAGTAGAAGAGGTAATCAAGAGCAGGAACCTTAAAGGTTTGCTCCAAATCATGGCAGTTTGCTTCAAGTAGAAAATCAGAGGGCACAATTACCCTGTACTGCGTAACTCTAGAATTTTTATAGTAAAAAAAATCATCCCCCCCAAAAAAACTTGGAGTGACTTATCCATGAGTTAATGTGAGTATTGTACCTTAACTCTTATTAAAAAAGGAATCATCCTCTTCTCTGAACATATTGATGAAAGGCAAGAGCTTTGTTTAACCCAAGAGAACTTAAAAGAAGCACCAATTCCCTCTGTTATCTCCATCTAAAGGTCGGCAGTTTGAATTCGCAAGATGGGGTGAGCTCTCGTCTGTCAGCCCCAGCTTTCCATGAGAGAAGCCTCCTACAGGATGGTTAACATATTCAGATGTTCCCTGGGCAACTTATCTGCAGATGACCAATTCTCTCACATCAGAAGCAACTTGCAGTTATCTCAAGCTGCTTCTTACACAATTAAAAAAAAAACCCCATGGCATTGCCTCTGGCATTTTAAAATGCCCAGGTAGGGAAATGGCAGTGGTGGCCAAGAATGGCTGCACCCCTGGGGTTACATTGGTACTCTCCCTCTCCATGGAATGACCCTCAATGTACTCACATTGAAATCCATAATTTTGGCCCCTCAACTAACACATGAAAATATACAGTACTGGAACAACAATAGTGCTACTGCTGTATAATTCAGTTAAGCATTCTTTCTTTGTGATCCAAAATTTCTGTATTTATCGTGCGTGTGTGCATGTTACTTACATACATGTACACCTAAAATATTTATATATGTAGGCAATACACAGTTGTTAAGTATTAGGTTTCTCTTTCATTTGAAGAACTTGAAGAAGATGGAAGCCAAAACATTTCACTTATGTTTCATTTTTCAGTTCTGTTAACTGCATCTTTCTGTGATTCAGAACAAATGCTTTGGATTTGCTTTTTATTCACAGCCATGGTAAAGTGATATTTGTTGATATTAATATTTATCTATATGGTATTCATTTGAAGAACTCAAGAATATTTGGTGGTTAGTGTCCCAGATGGACAGTGGAAAATCAGTTTCAAATCTGTCCTAGATACGGCTAATCCACATTTGTTTCATATATTCACATTTCTTTACTGCGTATCATATACCATAGCTCAACTATGTCAAAGTTTATATCTCTCCAACAACAAGGGAAAAAAAGAATACAAAAAAAAACAAAACAAAAAAAAACCCCTCTGGAATCAAGCAACTTCTTTTAAAAATTCTGGAATATGACATATTCTTAAATCAAGACAAAGTTATACATTTCTCTCACTAAATTCGTTGCAACTTCTTCCCAAGGAGGTATAGGTTTGCACTATCAACTAAGTTTAGTTTCCAGTAAAACCAATGAGATGGAAGTAATCACAATGTTAGTTCTCTACTGTTGTGCTTGTAAGTCAAGCGATTTGAAATCAAAATTTAATTACATTATTGTAACATTTCTGCATGTTTAATAATAATAATAATAATAATAATAATAATAATAATAATCTTCATTTTTATTCCAACTTATCTCCCCAAGGGGAATCAGGGCAGACTACAACATACAAAAAGGTAAACATTCAATGGCTCAATTAAACAAACAAATGTTAACGAGTAATCCAAAATAACCCCACATATGAAAATAAAACAGAACCTAATATCAATAAATGGAACAAAACATATTCAAACAAATTTATATAATGACATAAAACCTAAACAATAAAACATCTCCACTGATTTACAAAAAACCAACCAAAGTTCACTTGAAGTAAATGTTTTAGTAAGTTACAGTTTTTAGAGAAAGATAGTATATAAATAAAATAAAATAATTAAAGGAAACATTTTCATGGCCTAAATTCCAATTCTTTAGTCTCAACTAAAGGTTGATGCATACTAGATCTGTTCTTGATGTAGAAATGTTAAGTATACACTTACCTTGCATTGATTCAATGTTGTCTACCTAGGGGCCTTCCACACAGCCATATAACCCAGAAAATCAAGGCAGAAAATCCCACAATATCTGCTTTGAACTGGGTTATCTGAGTCCACACTGCCATATATCTCAATTCAAGGCAGATAATGTGGGATTTTATTCAGCTTTGTGGAAGGGGCCTTACTTAGGACTAATAGTTGCAGAATGTTAACTAAGAAGTTGAACTGAACATACAAATATGAAGTATATAGGACTGCACCTTGGCTGGGATCGAACTCAATATCTGTAAAGAAGTGTGTGTGTGTGTTAATTATTATTAAATAGTACTGCTGCCATATGGATATTTTTGCTACTATAATTTTATCTTTAAAATTCCCTAAATGCCAATGTTTTATAACATGATCATTAACTAGACTGATATCAAATAAAGTTAGGATTATTATTATTATTATTATTATTATTATTATTATTAAATCAAGTTTTTAAGATCAACTATTTTCAGTTCAACAATTTTTGAATGTTTTAAAACTATTTTAGACACTTATACAGCACATTAAATGCTTTATTGTTTTTAAACCTCTGTTTAACAAATATGTCTAACATACTAAATTAATTTCCCATCAATCATAATAATAGAATCATTTTTGATTAAAATTTCACAGAGAAGAAAGTATCACTATAAAATTTAGATTTCTTCTTGAAGTTTCGTGAAGATGAGTATGCCAAACATTGTTATTTAACTTTCCATGGAATCACTGTGGGTCCTTTTTGGCCAAACAGACAGTTTCCTTTTTGCACACAACATAATCGTTATATAAAATAGCATGCAAAACCACTTTCCGAACACGTATGTTTCTATCTGAGCACACACAAATTTTTTCTCAGCTCTCAACTCAACCCTGTTTTTTAACAAGTTCCTTAGCTCTTAAAAATGATAAATGCAAATGAAAAACCTGACAATCTTGCCATGGAAACGAGAAATGGCAGAACAATTAATATCTATATGTATAAAGGTTTGCAAGATCTTGAATGGCTAAAAATGGCATTAATGTCTAACTTTTTTGCAGTCGATTTCTTTTCCTAACGAATTTCTGATAGATCACTTAGTAACAGCCTTTTAAAAAAATAAAAACCCTTTTTTACTTACACATTTTCCAACATACATTGAAGAACTTTTGCACATCTGAGTGCTCTTCAGTCACAGAGAGATAATTAATTTAAATGCTAAAACGAACACAGAACTTATCAAGATTTTAGTTGTTATCAGCAAAAGCTGGGGGCTCCCTAGGCACATACACAGGTGACACAGTAAAATGAATGACAGCTCGAGTAATTATGTGTACTATGGGCACAACATTTATTTTGGGTAGCTGCTTATTTAGCTTGAATGTTTAGCTTTTTAGGAAAACAGGGTCTATTAATACTGAAGGACAATTAAAATTTTTGATAACATTCTGCTGCCATTTTATAGATGGCTTCCTCTATTTTCTGTAATATTTCTGGAACCAAGATAATGTTCCTCTGGGCTTTGATCTGATACGAGAATAACATGAAGTCTTCTCACTGCAAGTGTTAGAAGTGGCTTAAGATACAAACCCTTGTCTAGAAAATGAAATCCATCTTCAGAAAATAATAACTTCATCTCTTAAAATAAAAATGTTGTAAATCTCCCTTATAAATTTCTTATATGCAGTACTAATAATTATAATTATTTTTATCAGACCTAGAATTCTAAATACAGGTCAAAGATAAACAAGAATAAAACATAAGTGCTCCTAACTACCTTATATACATTTTAAAGGGATTTGGAATTTCATTGTATTTTGATGCATGGTCAACATTGGGTAACAATGTTGCCCATGCATCAAAATGCAATGAAATGTCAAATCCACAAAATATTGCTTTTTTAAAAAATTGGCCAAATGTACAATATGTATCCTGCAAACTCCCAAGAATGCTTCACTAGCTTCTTCACCAGGCAAAGATGTTACACATTATACAGAAGAAGAAAATAGACAATGTTAGAGGCATAGGCCTACATTTTGTCTCAGATGTTACTTCTCTTATTAGCAAAAATGGTTGGGGAGGGGGGATACAATCAATGCAAGCAAAAGCCACTTATTTTCTTGGTGATGTGGGTACTACGGATAAAAGGGCAACAAAAGACAGGAAATAAAATTTCTGTTCCATCAAGAACAGAAAATTATCTTTATACACAATGTTTAAAACTGACTATGTTTGCAATTTCTGTGACTGCTCATAGGAACGGCTCCAAGTAGAGACTAAATTGCTAAGAAAGAAAGAACATCATTTTGTGCCTTTGTCTAGATGAGAAAAAAAGAAAAGTAGTTAAATCTGAATTAGATTGAATTCTCTCTTAGCACGTGAAAGGTAGTGAAACCAGAAACTACTATAGTTGTTTTGACATTTTCTAGTTGGTGGTATGTAGAGGAAAGTTGTAGCTAGTGTTCTTCAAACCGATTCATCTCCTGATAAAAGTGCTCAGGAGTACAATACAGATTCTGTATAAGTTACCTTTCATGGAAATGCCTATAACTAATGGAAAATATATACAGAATGGAATCAGTGGATGGCAAAAAGAACTGTGGGATAGGAACAGAAGAGATGGAAAAAGGTACAAGTAATGAGGGAAAAACTGATCTACTGAGTCAGAACTCATAAAACTCAGAAATACTTACTTTTATATTTGCTAAACACAACATGGGAGACTAACCTGAAATTTAGATTCAGATAACTATCCAGAGTGCTGTAACGAAATAGAAAACAATAGTTCTCCTATTCAAGTTCTACTGACAATCATAACATTTACAACTATGTCTTGAGGTTCTGTTTCTTTGTGAACAAATCAGTAATGACATTAATGTCTTTCATCAATGCAGCTAACCCATTAAAATGTCCTTAAAGATTCTCAGTGTCAAAATTAGTTATCTATCTAGTTATGCTCCAGAACTAGAAAAGAAGCCCAATTGTTCTGCCCTGACAACACTGTGCAATGTAAATCAATACATTGTTGGTGAACCACGATTCTATGACTACTACCTGTCTCTCCTAGTTTCTGTCCTTTTTTAAAAAAAAACCCAAAGAAACAATTTTCCATTGATGATTATGCTAATAGTAACTTGTCAAAAGAAGTTAGTAAACAGAAGAACAAGCTGCATTTTTACAAACCTAGTAAATGATACAGCAATAGCCTTATGCACTTGCTAACATGGGGCCTTAAACCTCTTAGATTACCACTATATACCACAAAGAAGATATTGGGTTTTCCCCTTTACTGTCCCTGATGCAATATATTTACATAGTAATTATGCACATACAGATCTTCTCAACTGCAGCATGGGCCGCTTTCATGCACATCTTAGAGGTGCACATTAAATTTAAGGGGCTACAAGATAGTCAGAAGGACCATCACATTCTTTTCTAGTAATGCATTCCCTAGAAATCAGTTGTAATGTACATGAAGTAATTATAGTCTAAAAACATATACACTATCATTTGTCATGTGGAAAATACTAGCTTGCGCATTATTTTTCCCGCAAAAGTAGGCAATAAACCAAGAGGAAATTAGGTAGTTGATATGCTTTTGCTGAAGCTAAAGATTATTCAAAGTACATCTGTTCTTCAGTTTTGCTGAAGTGATAAATAAAAATTTACTGCATGTAAAATTGCTAAGAATGCAATTGTTTTAAATCTGGGAGACACAATTTTATTTTATTTATTTACACAAACTTTATTTTCAGAACATATGAGACGGTTCATTGAAATGATCAAATAGATTAAGTTTGTTGTATATCACACCACACATATTCACATAGTCTCTGCTGTAACAGTGAATTTTTTTTCTTCACTAAACTAGGATGCTATGGAATAAATAGGGATTTTTTCAGAGTCAGTGTAGAAAGAGTCCATTGTTACGTAAAACTACAATATCTACATGGACATCAAACAGATAGGACTTCTCAGAAAATATTAGGATTAGGAGTAAATTTTAAAAGTATATTTCCTGCAAATGGAGTACAGGAAAGATTACATAAAACACATTTAACAGAAGGCAGATGACCGGTCCATCTGGCCCAATATAGTCACTTATTGACTTGTAACAGTTTTATCATTGTTGTTGTTGTTTGTACCCTATTTTTTCTCAGACTATACAAAAAATAAATGCTCAAATTGTGTAATCTGTGTCTCCAGGGAGAGTGTAATCCCATACAGCACAGACTGAATCTGTATTCTCAGATCTGCTGTTAACTAACGAGGAGCACTTCTGTCCCACTCATCCGTCACTCCCTTGTCTTTTAGTATCTGTGTCCACGGAATTCAATTTCAACTTGTCTGTCCTCATTCAGGCCATTACTGATGACAGGTGCTGGTTTAGAACTAGGAGTAAGCCCCCTTGTCTTAGAATGAAAGTAGTCCTTAGGTGTCATCTGCATATTTATGGCACAGCATTGACCACTCTGGAAGATCTCTTTCAGAGGTTTTATGAAGATGTTAAATACCATTGAAGGAGGAAACATGTTCAACCCCTCAACCTGGAAATGAGATGGGAGGAAGTCATAGGGTGGAGGGAGCAAGCTTGTTTTCTGCTGCCCTGGAGACTAGGAGGCAGAACAATGGTTTCAAACTACAAGAAAGGAAATTCCATCTGAATATTAGGAAGAACTTCCTGACTGTGAGAGCTGTTCAGCAGCTCCTCCAATCTGCTGGAACTTCTCCTGTTCTCCAAGAACTCTCAAAGATGATTGTCAATGGTTCCGAGATGACTTCTGCTAGTTCCTTCAATACTCTTGGGTGTAGTTGATCTGACCCAGGGGACTTCAACTCATTTAGAGTGGCCAGGTATTCCTGGACGACTTGTTTCCCAATTTGGGGTTGGATATCCTCTAATCCCTCATCCACTCCATTTTGCTGAGTTTGAAGATGACTTTCTTTTGTGAGAAGACCGAGGCAAAGAAGGTATTAAGTACTTCTGCCTTTTCCCTATCCCCTATCAGCAGGGGCCCCTATTGCCTCCTTGTTCTTCCTTTGTCTACTGACATAAGAAAAGAAGCACTTTTTATTGATTTTATTGATTTTAACGTTCCTGGCAAGCCTGAGCTCGTTTTGTGCTTTAGCCTTGCGGACCTTTTCCCTACAGGAGTTGGCTATTTGTTTGAATTCTTCTTTGGTGATTTCTTCCTTTTTTCACTTCTTGTGCATGTCTCTTTTGAGTCTTAGCACAGTTAGAAGTTCTTTGGACATCCATTCTGGCTTCTTTGCACTTGTCCTATTTTTTCTCTTTGTTGGCACTGTTTGCAACTGTGCCTTGAGTATTTCACTCTTGAAAAACTCCCATCCATCCGTAACTCCCTTGTCTTTTAGTATCTGTGTCCACGGAATGCTGCTCAGTGTTTCCTTCATTTTTTGGAAATTGGCTCTCCTAAAGTCCAAAATGCGGGTTTGACTTGTCTTAGTTTCGGCCTTCCTTTGTACCTCAAATTGCAGGAGCATAAGGTCACTTGCCCCTAAGGATCCGACCACTTCAACCACATCGATCAGGTCCTCGGCATTTGTTAGGATGAGATCAAGAGTAGCCGACCCCCTTGTTGCCTCTTCAACCTTCTGGACCATGAAATTGTCTGCAAGGCAAGCGAGGGATCTGTTGGACTTTGTACTCTTGGCCAAGTTTGTTTTCCAGCAAATATCGGAATAGTTGAAACTGCCCATGACCACTACATCTCTTCTTTGTGCTTGTTTGGTCAACTGTTGGCAGAAGACTTCATCAAATTCTTCCTCCTGGCTTGGAGGTCTGTAGTAGATGCCTACAATGAGATCTTTTTGAGTCCCTTGATTCTTATCCAGATGCTTTCAAGCTGGTTTCCCGAATTGCTGTCTTGCATCTCTTCTGCAGTGTAACAGTTTTTGACATATAAGGCTACTCCACCTCTCTCTTTTGTTTAGTTTCTGTGAAAGAGGTTATAGCCCTTGATGTCTACATTCCAGCAATAGGAGTCATCCCACCAGGTTTCAGTGATACCTATGGCATCATATTTGTGGTGTTGTGCTAAAAGCTGGAGTTCGTCTTGTTTATTTACCATGCTCTGTGCATTAGTGTAAAGACATGTGAGCCCCTGACATCCTCCCCTGAGCTTTTTATTTGGGATTATTGTGTTTTCGGTACTTGGTCCTTGTTGTGTTTGTGCAGCCTTCCATTTAACTAACTTCATGAGGTATGTGAAATAATGATAAGCTTATATAGTCCAGCACAGCATTTTTCTAAAGCAGTTGTCCCCAGTTGAGAAGTAGAAAATATGTGCCACAGGGTTTTTAAAGTAAGTAGCACATGTCTACAGACAAGCCCAAAGTTGATTGCCTTTTTAGATTTTCTGCCATCTGCTAGTGATTGCAATGAATCACCAAACTACTACGACAGATGTTTAAATCAGTTTGGTTTTTGTAATAACCCACTTTAAGTTTGGATGCCTTCCCTCTGTATTCTGGCCAGGTATCGTGAGTATATAGAAAATTAAATTAAATAGTTACTAGATTTGGTGAATTTATCAGAAGAATTCTAAGTCCCAATGGAAATAAACACAACTTTGACCTTTTGCCAACTGATTTTTAGTCGTTCGTTTTCTAATACACACACTTCTGAGGGCTCTTCCAGATAGGCCCTATATTCCAGGATCTGATCCCAGGTTTTCGTTCCTCCAAGATTATCTGGCAGTGTGAAATCATAAAATCCAGTTTAAAGCAGAAAACCTGGGATCAGATCCTGGGATACAGGGCATGTCTGGAAGGGCCCTGACTGACAACAACCCTGGGACAAATAATATTTTTCTCTGTTAAAATGTGAACAAAGATATTTCAGGAAACACAATGTTTTACTGTATAAAAGTGTTTAAAATTAGGACACTATGTAATAATGTTGAGTAACTAATTAACAATTAACAAAATACATTATATACAATGGACTTACAGAAGACGCAAACTACTTTCCACCTATCAAACAAACTCTTTAATTTGAAAGGGGCTGCCGTGGTGCAATGGGTTAAACTCTTGTGCTGCTGAACTGCTGACCTGAAGGTTGGCAGTTCGAATCCACATGACAGGGTGAGTTCCTGCTGTTAGTCCTAGCTCCTGCCAATCTATCAGTTTGAAAACATGCAAATGTGAGTAGATAAATAGATACCACTCCGGCAGGAAAAGGAAAAAAAAGATGCTCCAAATAATCTCGCCAACCACACAACAAGGAGGTGACAACACAGGCTCCCTGCCTTGAAAATGGAGAAAAAGCACCTCCCCCAGAGCCAGAGATGAGCACTGCCTTCAGAAGCCGGAAATGAAAGGAGAAGCCTTAGCCTTTGCCTATGTTTGTGTCTCATTGATTGTAAGGCATTGAATGTTTGCCTATGTCTCCTGTAAATCGGCTCTGAGTCCCATAGGGGAGAAGGGCAGAATATGAATACAGGGTATTATTATTATGATTATTAATATGATAAGGACAATTGATTGCTGAGAATGAAATTACAGCTCAAATCAAGTCTCAACAATTAAATTAAAAAAGGAAAAGAAAAACTGCTCTATGTAAAACTTTTTCAAAAAACACACCATTTTGTCCATTAAAAAAAGATAGATATAGTACCTCACATCTCTCTCTTTCAAATTCTTTGGATACCAAAAGTTTGAAAGATGAAATTATTCATTATTATTCAAAAAAGCAAATAACATTTTGCAAAAGTGAAAACATAATAAAATATTCAACTGAAATGTGGATAGCAAGTGCCTGTTTTACAACAGTGCCCACGTACGGTACTTTCATTGAGATTTGCTGTCAAATCAATGGCACATGTACTTACTACCGTTTTAACTAATAATATGTTACATTTCAAAATAACACACGGTTTTCTTTCCGAATAACACTTTATAAAATACAAGTAGTAAATGAACTAAAAGCTTGTCTAGCACATTCTCTTTTAAACTGGATACTAATTAAAGCCACAATCCTGCATACACTACAGTGCATCAATGCTGTAGAATTAATGCAATTTAACTTTAACTGTCATGGCTTTATGCTATGGAATCATAGAAGTTGTAGTTGGGTGAAGCACTGATCCTTTTTGTTACAAAAGACCTTGTAAAACTACAGTTCCCATGACTCAATAGCATCGAGTCACAGCAGTTAAAGTGGTGTCAAACTGCAAGAATTCTATACTACAGAATGTATCCCAAGTCTCATTAAAATCAGTGGGCCTTACTTCTGAATAAATATATATTGACAAGTATTGAGCTGCAGGGTCTGTTTGGTAAAGTGAAAAAACCCACTAACTACTTTGTTTTGCTGCTTGCAAGGGACTACAGAGACACAATCTATTCCCTAAATCATTCTGTAAATTTGTACTTCTAGCAGTAGGTCGCCAGGCTTAATTTTGGAAGTTGCAATACAGTACTGCCTAGAAATGAGCATTGGATATCGGACCTGGAAAAACCTGATCAAAATTCTTCCTTATTTATGAGCTTGCTGGGTGAACATTATAGAGCTGACTCACATTTTACTATCTGTGTTCCAGTACAATACTAAGCCCAGAACACATATATAAATAGAACGGACACATACGCTAGATAAACACATACTATATAAACAGAAAAAAGAACACACATTTATCCTACTTCCTCCAAGGAGCTTGGGTGACATACACATCCTTTTTCCCTACCTTCACAACAACCCTATGAAGCAGGCTATTGTAAAAGGCAAAGTCAAGGTCACTCAGTAAATTTCGTGGCTGAGAGGAGATTTAAGTTGCACTCTCCCCAACCCAAATCCAGAAGTATGTCTTACACCTAGGGAGCTCAATCTTTTACTATATTACAGCCTGTATGTATTTTACACTGTATGCATATTACACTTTGGTACCCAAACTGAATGAGGCAAAATTAACCTGTGACTTACTTCATACAATCGTTGTGAGAACATGGGTGCATCTACACTGTAGAATTAATGCCACTTGAACTGTCATGTGTTTATGCTGTAAAATGCTGGGAGTTGTAGTTGAGTGAGGCACCAGTATTATTGGGAAAAGAAGCCCAACGACCATGTAAAACTACAATTCCTAGGACACCAGACAATTGAGCTATGACACTTAAAGTAGTACCAAACTGGATTAATTCTATAATGGAGATACACCCCACAACAGGCCAGATTGACCCATATTCATAAGGAAGTCCTAATAGTTGGGTTTACTCCCAAAGCATTATATTTGATTTGTTGTGGGTTTTCCAGGCTGTATGGCCATGTTCCAGAAGCATTCTCTCCTGATGTTTCCCCTGCATCTATGGAAGGCATCCTCACAGGTTGTGCGGACCTCAAAACCTCTGAGGATGCCTGCCATAGATGCAGGCGAAATGTCAGTAGAGAATGCTTCTGGAACATGGCCATGTTGTTGTTGTTCATTCGTTCAGTCGTTTCCGACTCTTCATGACCTCATGGACCAGCCCACACCAGAGCTCCCTGTCGGCCATCACCACCCCCATGTATGGAACATGGCCGTACAGCCCAGAAAACTCACAATAAACCAGTAATTCTGGCCATGAAAGCCTTTGACAATACATTATATTTGAATTATGTATATTTTAGAATCCCATACTACTACAACACAGGATGGGTGGTGCTGAGAAATAAACATGCTATCAAATAAAGTAATTAAATGACAAAGAAAAGCTAACTGATCAATCAATTACTGAAATAAAGTAGTTTTACTACTAGGAAGGGGTGGAGAGAATTTCCTATTCTGTGGAAGAAATTCTTATTCTTCCCTAAGTAGGAATCTGATTATTACTATTTATATCGCACTTTCTTCTCTTAAATAAAACTCAAAGTGGCTCATAGAACAAATTACCATTTAAAACCTAAAATATATAAACATTAAAATAGAATTCAACACAAAATAGTTCAAAGAAATACTATTAAAACTGTAACAACAACAACAACAATATCATGGTCTCCTGGCAGGAATATAAAGGGGAGGGGTATGGTGATTGTTATCATCCCGTTTTCTTCTCTTAAATGAAATTCAAGGAGACTCATAACACTAAAACCCTACAAATTACGATTTGAAACCTATAACATATAAACATTGAAATAGAATCAATCACAGTTGAGTTTTTTTTAAAAAAATTGTTAAAATCACTCCACAACATATAAAACTGTAGTAATAATAACAAAAACAAGAACAACAATATTCGCTGACAGGAATATGAGGCAGCCCATGAAGTAAGGGAGGGGGAATAATAATAATAATAATATCCCCTGACAGGAATATGAGGGGGACTAAGAAAGTAGAGGAGGGAGAATAACAATAACAACAACAACAACAACAACAACAACATGACAGGAATATGAGGAAGCTAAGAAAGTAGAAGTGGGTAATAATAATAACAACAACAACAACAACAACAACAACTATTATTCTCCTGCCTCTATTTTCTTGGCCACCTCATGTTGGGTTGTTGTTGTTGTTATTATTATTATTCTTACCCCTGACAGGAATATGAGGCAGCCAGGAAAGTTGAGGCGACAGAATAATAATACTAATAATAATAATAATAATAATAATAATAATATCCCCTAGCAGGAATATAAGGGGGCTAGTAGAGGTGGGAGGTCAATAATAACAACAATAACAACAATAATAATATCTCAACAGGAATATGAGGAGGCTAAGAAAGTAAAGGTGGGAGAATAATAGTTGTTGTTGTTGTTGTTGTTGTTGTTGTTATTATTATTATCATCATCATCCCCTGGCAGGAATATGAAGAGACCAAGAAAATAGAGGTTGGAGAATAATATTTATGCATTTATTTAATTGTTTATTATATCCCCTATCAGAAATATGAGGGGGCTGGGAAAGTTGAGGAGGGAGGAGAATAAAAATAAAACCAGTAACAGCAATTATAATATCCTGACAGGAATATGAAGAGACTAAGAAAGCAGACGGAGGAGGATAATAGTAATTATTATTATTAGTATTGTGTGTATTATTATATCCCCTGACAGGAATATGAGGGGTCCAGGAAAGTAGAGGCAGGAGAATAATAGTTATTATTATTATTATTATTATTATTATTATTATTATTATTATTATATCCCCTGACAGAAATATGAGGGGTCCAGGAAAGTAGAGGCAGGAGAATAATAGTTATTATTATTATTATTATTATTATTATTATATCCCCTGACAGAAATATGAGGGGTCCAGGAAAGTAGAGGCAGGAGAATAATAGTAATATTTATTATTATTATTATTATTATTATTATTATTATTATTATCATCATCATCATCATATCCCCTGATAGGAATATGAGGGGTCCAGGAAAGTAGAGGCAGGAGAATAATAGTTATTATTATTATTATTATTACTATCATCATATCCCCTGACAAGAAAGAGGGGTCCAGGAAAGTAGTGGCAGGAGAATAATAATACTAATTATTAGTATTGTTTGTATTATTATTATATTATCATTATATCCCCTGACAGGAATATGAGGGGTCTAGGAAAGTAGAGGCAGGAGAATAATAGTAATCATTATTAGTATTGTTTGTATCATTATTATTATTATTATTATCAACATATCCCCTGACAGAAATATGAGGGGTCCAGGAAAGTAGAGGCAGGAGAATAATAATAATAATAATAATAATAATAATTAGTATTGTTTGTATTATTATTATATTATTATTATATCCCCTGACAGGAATATGAGGGGTCCAGGAAAGTAGAGGCAGGAGAATAATAGTAATAATTATTACTATTGTTAGTATCATTATTATCATCATCATCATCATATCCCCTGACAGGAATATGAGGGGTCCAGGAAAGTAGAGGCAGGAGAATAATAGTAATCATTAGTAGTCTTGTTTGTATCATTATTATTATCATATCCCCTGACAGGAATATGAGGGGGATTCACAAACTTGAGGGGGGGAGAACAACAACAACAACAACCTCCTGACAGGAATATGAGAGGGTTCATGAAAGAGAGGGAGAATAACAACAACAACAACAACAACTATAATAAACAACCCCCTGGCAGTATAATGATAGGATTTGGAGGCCTTTCCCCAGCTCCTGAAGGGAAGGGGGCGAGCCTGCTTGCCTTCCCTCCATGTTGTTTCCCCCGCCCGGCCCTTCCTTCCTTCCTTCCTCTCTCTCTCCGTCTCCCTTTCTCACCTTCCATCCCTGCCAGCCAGGCGAAGGGCCCTTCCTTCTGCCCTTCCTCCTTCCCTTCCTTCTGCCGCCTCCTCTTCGTCCCCTCCTCGCCCTCCTCGTCCAGCCCAGCCTCCTTCTGCTCCACGTCACGGCCCTTTTATTTCTTTTGAGGCCGGGACGCTCTCCCAAATGAGGAGGAGCCCTTTCTCCTGGCCTGGCTGCTTGCCTCGTCAGAACTGGGCCGGAGTGAGAGGGAGAGGGAGAGAGGGCTTTCCTCCCTCGCCTCGCCGCCTCCTTTTCCTCGGCTCTTAACCGGGCGTCCAAGCCGGGCCAGGGGAGGGGAGGCGGGGAAGGGACCCTAGGAAAGCCCGAGGCCTCCCCCATCTCCTTTCTCCTCTTTCTCCTTCTCTTTGAACCCTTAATCCTATATCCCAGAATATCAAGGCAGGAAATCCCACATTTTCTGAGTGTGGACCGTGATAACCCAGTTCAAAGCAAATATTGTGGGATTTTCAGCCTTGGTATTCAGGGATAAAGGGCTGTGAGGAAAGGTCGTCCCTCTTTCTCTCTGGGCGCTTCTACACTGCCATATAATCCAGAATATTAAGGCAGAAAATACACATTATTTGCTTTGAAGTGGATTATATGAGTCTACACTGCATTGTGATACAGAATATCAAGGTAGATAATCCACATTATCTGCTTTGAAGTGGATTATATGAGTCTACACAGCCTTGTGATCCAGAATACCAAAGTAGATAATCCACATGATCTGCTTTGAA